AAACGAGGCATTTGTTGCATCCAGTGGGGACATAATTACTGATTATAATGACTTTATACTGTCTTTTTACACGTTGCGTTGCATCACGCCACGTAAACATAAAACCATGTCTGCATTTGTGATCGGAGAAACGACAAACAACAAGCGCTACTCTACACTGCTCAAAATTCTTGTTTGAATCGTTAGTGGCAAATTCTTTAAATATAAAAACGTACAGGCTGCGAGTCAGCATTATTTGTCAGCATCATAGACTGTATAGGGTCAGCATTTGCAACTTTAGGGATCTTATCTATTCATGAACATCTTGTAACCCTGATAATTATTAATACTCTGTTTAGCTTTAATTTATCGTTTTTATATCAGTTTTAGCTGTAGTAATTTTAGTACTTCAACTTAAAATTATTTTCTTTCAGTTAGTGACTTAGGCAACATTTCATTCATTTTTTCTCATGTAATTTTTGTATTTTATTTTATTTCAGCTTTATTTAAATTAACAAAAATAATTTTAAATTGTTTTTCATTTTAGTTAACCATAACACTGATCTTAACAGATTAGCAGTTCCTATGCATGCTTTTATAGTGTTTATAATTTGAAATTAGCTTTATTATATTTTCGGTTTGTGTTTTTAGTGTAGATTGTTTTGTAATGTTATGTGCTTTTGTCATTTTTAATATTTATTTTTATTTGATGCAATTTTTACATTAACAAAAATATTTTTTAATAGTTGTGTTAAAAACAATAACACTCTACTTTACATATTGGCAGTTTACACACACATGCAATTTGTGTATGTGGGTGTGTGTGTGTGTGTATCAGAGTATGTGAGCGGAGTGGAGCGGCAACAATTTCCCCTCCGTGCTCCGAGCATTTAATAATCACTCCGCTCCAGCTCCTTTCTGAGTTCACCATTTCCCGCTCCCGCTCCACTCCTCGCTCCACTGATCAGAAACACGCTCCGCGGCTAAATTATTTCACTATGATTGAAAAATCAAAGTTCTGTTCAGAATTTATATTAAACGAAAAATAAATGCATAATACTAGAAGAATAGTTTTAACATGGTTTATCGGAACAGTACAATTAGCCCAAGTCCATATTAAATGACTGCTTAACTTAATTAGCTTACTTGTCTGTGCAACGTCTCTCTACTATGGCGAAGCTGAGGGTAGTTACTTCAG